TGTATTGCTCAATAATAATTGTGTGGGTCTATAGAAAGCAATTAGAACTTGTGCTTTATACGAGCAGCACAGCTTTCAATTGTTGTTAGTACTATACCTATTTAAAAACCAGCTTTTATGCTTTTCATGAATGAATCAGCGATTTGTAGCATAAGAAATGGAAAATAGTAGTAGTTGACCAGTGTGTTGAGGCGCCCTTTCCCCTGCTTCCAAATGCTTCGGAATTATTTATAATTCTTTTTCCTCTCCATTCGATTAGCTCTTTTAAAAATCTATGTGTATTTAATAGAAGTACAAAAGAGGTCGCTTCTTGTGATGCCTCGAATATTTTTGAATTGCTTGCCACTTAGGCAACACTGGCCTAGTCTGTGGGGCAAAGTTTTTCTTTCCAATTATCGAACGCATTATTAAGCAATTATAGGAGAGGAAACAAATACAAACACAAACAAACATGACTTTCACTCGCTTGACCAATATGGAAATCCAAATGTTCGCATGAATGCGCACCGAGATTGTCGTCCAGCGCTCGATGCTTCTTCAACCGTGCATGTGAATGATATGTGGGGGGTGCTGAGTGGTGTGCGGGTGTGTGATGGTTGTTGGGTGTCGGCATAACAACGCATATCAAATTAACTACTAAATTGACTTGTCAAACTTTTTGTGTGCTGCAAATTGGGCAGACACTGCCCTCCTCCCCACCCCACCCCTCCCCTCAGCACTCTACTCCACTCCACTTGAGTTGAGTTCACTCCTCTGTCCACAGTTGGTCTCATCTCGCCTTGTCTCGTCTGGTGCTGCAGCTTCATTATTCAACACAGCGTGCAGGAAATTGAAGTGTGAATGGAGCGCTGAGTCTGAGATTGTCGGGGCGTTTCATTGTGAGCAGCGAGCACGAAACACATTAGAGGCATCGTTTTTAATGAGCAAAAGGATTCACATTTATTAATGAAAAAGCAGCCGTTACATACGCACGAATGCGCTCGAACAAGAGCCGGCGAGGGTGTGGAAGGTGGAGGGCCGTTAGGGGCAGCTGTGGACGTGTATTGTAATTCTTATTATTTGTGCCAAAGCATTTGCCAAATCATTTGATGCACAGTTTATGGCCATAATCATTAAAGTTGGCAAGGCAGTAGCACGTAGCAAATTATGAATGAATGAGCGTCGCAATCGACGGCTTGGCGGCAGGGGGGAGGGGAACTTGCATTCATTGCCGGAGATTACGCGCATGTATTGGGTAATTGGCACTTACTCGTATACAGGTCGAGTCGACTCACAAAATGTCGCATTGCACGACCAACTTGCTGCTGCTGGGGAAGTCTAAATGGCGCCCAAGGCGTTCGTGCTACGTGCGCCGCAATGTGTGGCATACTTTTAGGCGGGCGCTTACCTACACACATATACACTGGCATAAAAAAAACCAACTCCATATTTCGTTATGAAATCAAAAGCAATTGCAAATAATTGAATTTAACAGTACAAAACTCTTTATCGGAGGCGTTTGCGCGCAATTATTATGCCTTCTTAAGTATTTTTCTAAGATATAAAATAACAATGTCTTTTTTACACGGTTTATTTTTACTTTTACTTTTAAAAAAAGACATTGATCATATGCAAAAAATATGTGATTGGTTCCTTATCTCTAAAGAAATATATATTGAATTTTTTTAATTTTCAAACCGTACATCAAAATCGTCTAAAAAAGACCGTGTACAAACAGAATTGGGTGTATGTATATGTTTAATACTTATATACATATGTACGCGACTACTGTTAGACGTACGTCTCTAAATACCAAATAGTCATAAGTGGACGTTAATATTCAAATTATGTAATTAAGTAAGGTTTGAAAGAATAGCGGCAAGAAAGATTTTGTATGATAGTCCTACTTGTAGTTCGTAGCAGTGTTCGAAGTCGGAAACTGATTGAAAAACATTATGTAAAGAGTAAGAAACAATTTTAAAAGGAGCTAACTAAAGTGTAAGAAACTATTTGAATTAAGCAAGCTGTGGTTGTAATTAAATTCCAGTGCTTAGTCCATTGTATTGGGACCCCCTGACAGCCCCTTACACTTTATCGCGAAAATTGTTATTTGATGAGAATCAAAAGTTCGTTTCTTCCCATACTTGGTATAAAGAATATTGCTTTTTTTATAGCCTGTACCCAAAGGGTGAAAGGCTATACTAGTTTTGTGCGCATGTATGTAACACACAGAAGGAGGCGTGGCAGACCCCACAAAGTATATATATTCTTGATCAGGATGGGAAGCCGAGTCGATATAGCCTTGTCCGTCCGTCCGTCTGTCCGTCTGTCCGTCTGTCCGTCTGTCCGTCTGTCCGTATGAACGCAAGGATCTCAGAAAGTATAAGAGCTAGAATAACCAAACTTGGTTTCCATATTCTCCTAAGACCGAGAAAGTACGAGTTTGAGTTTTTTTTCGATGCACCCCCCCACTCCCCCGCAATTCGTGTTTTTTCTTATAACTTCCGTAATTCTCAGAATTTAAAAATCAATTTTGGTAGGTACATCCAGTTAGTACTAATGTGTCCGTGTGCCAAATTTCATCATGATAGGTCAATTCTGAAGAAAGTTATAGCCATAAGTAAAATCGCTGCTCATGCGCTGCCTCTGTCGGCAGCGCTGCCCGCAGCTGTTGTTGTTGTTGCTGCTTTGGTTCAACTTTGTGCTGCATACATACACGCATATAAACACGCATAGGTACGTGATGTAAATGTATGCTGTTAAAACTAAACATAAACATATATTCTAATTTAATTTAATTAATTAATTCATTAATTTTTTTTAATAATTTAATTTTTTTTTTAATTTTTTTTTTTTTAATTTTTCTTTTTTGTGGAGAGTACAGGCTATTTTACTGTCGGGCTTGCTCGACTGTAGCGTTCTATCTTGTTGTATCTAAGTTGTGTTTTTTTTTTTTTTTACCAAAATAAGACCTGCTTGTCGACTTCTTGGATAAATTGCATATATTTGAGCGCTATTAAGGAGCTACTCTTAATAGGTAAATACCTATATATATGCCCGGAATAACTACTGATGGTTTTAATGATCGATGCGATCAAGTAATTAAAACCTTTAAAGAACAAAGTTAGTTACGGGAGAAGCATTCATCTACAACTCCACTTAATTAAGTTTGTTTTAAGTGCATAAAGAAAGTCGCATTCATACTAATAAGTAATTGACCTAGAATCGAGTATCGAGGCGTTACATCGAGCAGAATAAAAGTACTTATCACAGCATTTTTATGCTCAAATTAAAAAAAAAAATGTACGATCACTCAAAGCCAAACTGACCTTCCTTGCTATTTTTATACCCTGTACCCGTAGGGTAAAAAGGGTATATTAGGTTTGTGCAAAGTATGTAACATACAGAAGGAAGCATCTCCGACCCCATAAAGTATATATATTCTTGATCAGCATGACGAGAGAAATCGATCTAGACATGTCCGTCCGTCTGTCCGTCCGTCTGGATGAACGCGAGGATCTCAGAAACTATAAAAGCTAGAATAACCAAAGTTGGCATCCAGATTCTCCTAGGTCCGAGAAAGGACGAGTTTATTTTATTTTTTGGAATTTTCCCTCCCTTCCCCCGCTACAGAATTTCGTCAATAGCGTCCACATTTCAAATGCTACCTAAACCAAACTTTGCACACATAATTTCTATACAATTCTCTACTGTTGTATAAAATTTTATTCAATTCGGTCACTTCTAAGAAAAGTTATTAGCAAAACAAATTCTCGCCAGTACAACCCCCCAAACTGCAGCAACAAGTTCGCTCTTCTTCTTCCTCTTTTTGCTGCTGCTTTGGGCGCATATAACTCAGTGACGGAAGTTTACATGGGTACAGGGTATTACACTGTCGGGCTTGCTCGACTGTAGCGTTCTCTCTTGTTTTGACTTGCAGATATGGCCAGGAATAAGAATAGTGAGGCTGAAGAGGTCACACCCTATTGACCTTCCCCACAGATTTATATAAATTATAAATGTTAAATTGTAATTAAGACTGAACACCTAGTTTAAGTTGTATTTGTATTTAACTATAACTTTATAATTTAAATAAAAAAAAAAAAAGATATGGCCTTAATGCGACAATTTAAATTTGTTTATACATCAGACCACATCAGACTTCGGTCTCGATTCGATTGGTATATTCAAGGATATATTCTATTGATATGCAAGTTCGTAGCATTCTGAAGGCAAATTGGAACATACGAGTACTATATATGATCAGCATGGCAAGACGACTTCAAATCGTGAGATTCGTCTGATCGTCGGTCTGTCGTTCTGTTTCAATACCTAAAGTTTTAGATCTATCGCGTTATATTTTTGCACCTAGTTTTCAGTTTGGAGATATTATTTTAAAATATGTCTTGTACTTGTCTTACAACTTGTTTGTATTTAAGGATATGGGAACCAAATGGGATCCTGATATTGTTTTAGTCTCACAGTGAGTCGCGAATGGTGACCAAATAACAGTGAATCAGTGAATCAGCTGAAGAAGTTTGTTGCAGGATACATTTTAGAACTGTTTTGTGTAGTCTACTGTGTTTGAGTGGAGCACTGGAGACTGAAGCCTGAATCAAACATACATTCATATTCATGCAACAGGCTCACTTACTGCTAATTTCCCGACTTTAAAATTACATTTTTTTCATTATTTTAAATTTTTAACTTATAATTAATCTTGGATCACAAAATTTGATAGTAAGTATATGTATAGCCAGAGCAACAAAAGCATTCCGGGTTTAAAATTAAAATTCATTCACACTCGATTCAATTGAACAGAAAAGATGCTTACAAAAAAACTTCGAGCTTCGAACTATGCCTACAATGATTCCTTACACTATTTTTCCCTGAGTGTATGGATGGAATAGGTGTGCGTGCATTCATTAGTTGTACACCTGAATGCGTGTTCGAATGGACGTGACTGTGCCCCCACATCGATGACCGAAGCAAGAACTATAACTATAAATACGAAAACTCACCTGACTGAGCTCATCTCTGGAGTGGCTCGCCCCGCACTTCGGCAACAGCGCCAGCATGTCATCCTCAAAGGCACCGCCATGCGCATCCACCACATCGCCATCGCCATCCTCGATATCCGCATCCATGCTGCTGCTCCGGCTATGCCCACTTGTTTGAGTCGAGGCCAAGGCGTCTGTGTGGCCGCCAGTCATCGCAATATTCTTGTTGTTGTTATTATTATTATTATTACTGCTGTTGCTGTTACCCTTGCCTGCAGCTAGATTTGAATTGGGAGCGACATTGTGGACAATTTCATTGCCGTTTGTTGAGCGTCTGTTGCTGCTGTTGTTGTTATTGTTCTTGTTGTGGATATTGTTGATTTGGCTCGCTGCATTTGGCTGAGATTTCAGTAGTTGTTGCTGTGTATTGTGATTGCTGTTGTTCTTGGCAAGTGTTGCTGCATCCACTGCGGCCACACCAGCAGTTGCTGCTGCAACATTGGATGTCGCTGTTGCGCTGCTCAGCTCAGTTGTTCTGCAAATGGAAGAGGTGATGGTCATTTTTTTTAATATATTAAATACTATCAGGTATTGCCCGTCTTAATCCGGCTCAATATAATGTTTCCAATTGTATTTATTTTGTGTGTGCATAACCTACCCATATGTTTTCACCTTATAAGTTACCAGTAGGAAGGCATTTAAGGTATTTAAATGAACATTTTCTGTTCTTGACAAAAAATTGTTCAGTAGTCCGTTACATTTTTGTTCTTGCCAAACTATTTCGTTAAACGAACATGACCACTATAACTAATATTTTTAAAAGCTCGTTTTCCCCCCTTTGGAGCTAGAATTTTCTAAAAGCCTTTCTTAGTGTGCTCCTACACTATGATGGATACTATGAAAGGATACTTGAGTCCAAATTTCATCTTTTACCGTTTGGGCTGTGCGTTGATCACCAATTAGTCAGGACAAACTGTTTTATATATAGAGATAACGCAACGTTTTAAGATAGACTATGTGCAAAAAGTTAATCGATTCAGAAATGAGAATTTTAAAACCAGCTTTGGACCTCGACTTCCCCCCTTTGGAGCTCGAATTTTCCAAAAACCCTTCTTAGTGAGCACCTACATTATGACAGGATACTTGAGCATAATTTCCTTACTTTTACCGTTTGGGCTGTGGGGTGTTGATTGTGTTTCAATTTTTCCACGGAAAACCCCCCTTTTTCATGCCCCAGGAAAAATGGTGAAAAATCAAGTATACAGTTTTTCTTGTATTCTTTGAGAGTATACAAACTAAGTTTGAAGTTAATTTGATGAAAATTTTAGATTTTTCATACAAACGTTGGAGCTCGTTTTCCCCCCTTTGGAGCTCGAATTTTCCGAAACTCCTTCTTAGTGCTCACTTTCACTATAAGAGGGATCTTGTGTCCAAATTTCAGCGTCCTAGCTCTTACCGTTTGGGCTGTGCGTTGATTGCCAATCAGTCAGTCAGTCAGGACAAACTGTTTTATATATATAGAGATAACTGCTCATAATACTATAATCAACCCTAGTTAATATATACATACAAGTATGTATTAGTTCTTACTGTAATAATCCGTAATGGGCACTCTAGAATTTATTTAAAGTAATATACATTTCGTTTTTCGAAAACGACGTTGAAAAAAATAAACTTTAATGAACACGTAATAAAAATTGGCCAAAAAACAATACTTATAATCAAGTTCACTTAAACTGATATATACAAGTATTCTACGAATTTATTTAGTTTGTTTGTCCGTCTGAACGCTCTATTCTCAGAGACCTTGAGAGCTACAGACACTGAGCTCTGTCATGAACATTACTCAGATGGTCACGCATGTGAAATGGGGAGGATTATTCGATATATTTTCTAAATGACGTATCCATTGTAAATGAACGGAGTCTGTCATTGTCTCAGTTCACCCTAAATGTATAATAGTTTCCTTTGCTTGTTATGCTAATTATGGGGCGATATTCAATTCAATTTTTTCTTAGGATCTAAAATGTATGTACAAATAAAATATAATATTCTGTAACAGACTAACATATGAGATCAAGTTACAACAAGCTGTATTTTCACATTTAATACATAAATGACAAATTCTTAATAATCCCATTCATAGATTTAAAAAAAATTCAGAGTAGCACCAAAAATTCGATCGATCCTATGAAGAATCTTTATATCGTAATTAGGGATTATAAAAAACGTATATGTGCCAAATTTCCTCAAGATATTTTCATGCATAAAAAAGTTAGCCTAACACAGTTCCTATTATTCCAATTATTCCTATGACAGCTATATCAAATAGTGCAGCTATACATATATGGTTTGTAACAAGCTTGCTTTGCTGATGGATTAGATAAGCCTGCATACCAAGTTTGCTGGCACTAGCTGTTATGGTTCAAAAGCTATCACTGTTCATACGGACGTACTGGCAGTTGGACGGACGGACATGGGTATGCAGATTTGTATCGTTATGATATCCCTATAATATGGAATCCGTCAAGCGTCCCGCTGCCTTTTACTTACATTTGACAATTGGACTTTTTTGTAGAGTAGAGGATATACAAATTAAATTTTTAAATTCTCCGTTCAATGTGCTTCTGTATAATTCTTCCGTTCACGACAAAAGTGTGACAAGTTGTTTTGTACATATCAGATTGAATTACTAAATAGCAGAAAAAAAAAGTTTAAAAAAATGAAGCAGGTGTTTGGGGGGCTATCGAATTTCATTCTGAACTTTTTCACTCTTACCATTATACGCGCTTAATGCGAAATTCATATTTTTTTTAAACATAAAAAAAGAAGGAAATGAATACAGTAGACCACAAATGTTGTGAGCACCTGACTCCTCTATGCCCTTTAACCACCAACTTTTTGACCGATTGTATCTATGACAGCTATATCTGAGAGTTGATATTCTCAGAGGGGCATTAGAAAGCAAAGTAAACAAAAAAAAAAGTTATAAATTTTCAGAGTTAAGTTTTCAACAATCATTTCTCAACCCTGGTAGCTGTCAAAGTGACTAGTCGACTTTTTATTGTGCGCTCCGTGAAAAATTGTAGTAAATTCCTCTTTTTCAATTATTTCGCGTATAGTGCGTTAAAAAAAAAAAAAAAAAAAAAAAAAAATCACCCGGAAACCTAGTTTCACCTTGGCTTTTTGGCAATCGTTTAGTATCCTTATTTTCTTGGATTCCAATCAACAATTAATCTGCTGTATGGGGCTGCTCTGCTGACGTATACACGTCATCGAAGCAGAGACAGCCCAGAATTTTTCTTCTTTGCTTGTTTTTGCAAGTCATCTTATCTCACGTAAATGAATGCTGATGAAGACTCGGCCGCTCTCGGAGCAGCTGAGGAAGTAGTCAATAAGCTGCCGAAGTACGTGGAGATGAGAAAAATTTCTGGTAAATCACCTTCGGAGCTGAGAGCAAAAATAACCAAGGACTTGCATATGTCAATGGGAAAACCATACTTAAAGCCGTCAAGCTCAACCAGTAACTGGATTGCCTCAACCACTTGTACATCGACTACAAGTACCCTAACGTTCTCTGTGGTGAACTCTCAATCAATGTATACTACAGTAGCGACATCAAATGGCAGTTTGTGCTCCACACCCGCCGTTGTGAGTACACCGGCTTCAATCACAAACTTAGTTGCAAATCCAACTCTGGACAAATTTTGCTCGTTTCAAATGTCAGTACCCGGTATTAATAGGAAGCGGAAAGGAGCCGTCGAGTCACTAAAATCGGCTCAAAAAAATAAGCCAACTCCTGTCAATACAACCCAGGGACAACGAACTGCGTCCTCCTCTCCGGCAGCGCTTCAAAATAATAGATTTGCAGCCCTTTCGGAAGAAGCTGATTCCATTATGGAAATGGAAGAGCCAGATTCCGAAGATCCATCGAGCCAGCAAAATGAAGCCAGCCGTTTCCAGCAGGGAAGTAGTATTCCTAAGCCTCCTGCTATATGTGTGCCACAAGTTAACAAATTGGATAAGCTGGAGGTGGCGCTCAATTCTGCTGTCTCCCCTGACGATTACGACATACGCACATCGAAATCTGGGATCTCGCGTATTTATACGAAGAATTCGAATGCGTTTCGTGCAATAATCAAATTATTGTCCAATCAAAATTGTCAATTCTGGCACCACCAGTTGAAGGAGAACAAACCCTGCAGATTGGTGCTCAGAGATATTCATCCCAATGTACCCAGGCAATTAATAGAGCGCACCTTTACCGACAAGGGCTTTACAGTTTTGAATATATATTGCCCCAGAAAACCGGACTGGCGTAACATTCAAATTAATGAGGAGGATGGTGAGGACATAAATAATGTCAAAACAAGACAAAATATGTTTTACGTTAACCTCCAGAACGCACCCAACGTTGCTGAGGCACTAAAAATAACTCAAATTGGTAGACACAGGGTTACAATATCAAAGGCCAAACAGAGTAAAGAGCTGGTACAATGCTTCAGATGCCAAGATTTCGGGCACACGAGGAACTATTGCCTTAAAAAGCCGGTTTGCGGTAAATGCTCGGGGGACCATGATACTGGCTCAAAATCATGTAACCTGAATGATAATGGGGAATTTATATGCGCTAATTGCGGCGAAGACCACATGTCGAGCTTCAGAGGCTGCAAGGTAAGAATTGATCTAGCCAAAAAACTTAAGCCAGCTGTGAGGTTGCCGAGAGATGGTCTAGTCATCGGTAGCAATAGGAGTTACCCAAACAACCAAGGCAATAAAGTACAGTTCATCTCAAGCTCTGCTGTTAAGAGTGGCTTCTCTTACGCTGATGCAGCAAGGCCAATTGAAGGAAAGCGTACCATCGCGCCAACAAACCAAAACTCGCCCCGGGCACACATTTCCGCTGAAGATTGGCATCTAAACAATAAATTTAGTATGCTGGAAAAGGCGATTTTTGATCTAAACGCAAGAATGGATCAAATGTATAAGCTCATTCAGGAAAATATGGATTCCAATAGAGCCTTCCGTGACTTGGTACAAAAACTAATATCCAAATGTTAAATCCGCTGTTAAAAATCGGATTATGGAACGCACGGGGCCTGGTCAAAAACAATGATGAACTCAGGCTTTTCCTAAGTTCAAACTTGATCGATATCATGTTAATAACCGAAACGCATATGCGTCCTGGCTTGAACGCATATTTGCCAGGATACGACCAGTACTACGCTAATCATCCCAGTGGCACCGCTAAAAGTGGTTCTGCAGTCATCATTAGATCAAGTATCGCTCATTCACAGAATGAGCCAATTCTAAAAACAAGCATCCAAGCGGCCAGCGTAACTATACCGACGAATGGTGGAAGCATCAAAGTCTCCTCCCTATATCTTCCTCCCAATGAAGCTTGGTGCAGGGCCGACTTTGATCTATTGCTTGCAACCTTAGGAGATAAGTTTATTGTAGGCGGTGATTTTAATGCAAAACACCAATGGTGGGGTAATTCCAGATCTTGCAGGCGAGGAAGGTGTTTGCAAGAGG